AGCCCATGTGTCATTTCTGGATAAAATTCATTTCGCATGATCATGATGGTGTCTTTGTCCTTTCATCCGTAAAAAAACTAACCAGAAACACGAGCCTCATTGGAATTCTGAAAAAATTTATCGTGAGCCTTATTTCATTATCTTATCATCCTTATAGGACAAACGACATATATTCACTGCAATATCTGTTACAATCATTAGGTATATACTATGATATAAATTCTCGAATTAAGGCCTCTTAAAAATTACTTAGAATTTACAGCTAATTTTGGAACTGAAAATGAATGGACTCTCAGTGTATACATGTAAGAAGGATCGTGGTTCTTCAAGATGCCTTAAAGTTTGTAAAGCTCTTCTTTTTTTCCTTTTTTTTTGGGGGGGGGGGGGGGGGTTTGTAATAAGCAATTATTTGATTTATGAATTCGTATTGGCATGTTAGCATTTTGCACTTGCATTTAAACCAACCTTTGTTATTATATGTGCAGAGTTTTGTAGGCGAAACTCATATCCTCATACACTCTTCAAGGTAAATACAGTAATATAACAATAGGTATATGATATTTTAATGTATCGTAATAGAATTGTAATGGGGTAATTGTATTGTAATGGAGTAATTAAATTCCGATATGATTATGAAAGGCAATTAGCCTGACATAATTAGTTCAATTCAAGTTCAACACATGGTTTCAAATTCACACACTACTCTGGTATGCGGTGTATGTTATTATTTCATGTCTGATGTTCAATGACGGTTGTTCAGTCCAATGGCGGAATTTATGGGGGCCTGGGCACAATCGGTCTATGAGTGTGCCCCCTTTAAAAAACATAATCTGGTATTACCGTAAGTACACAAAATGCTACCTCCCCCCGGCTGCAATGGTGTGCCCTCCTTTCAAATGTAATTTTACCGGGAGAAGCCTGCGAAATGTGAAAACCTTTGTGCCTCGATCCCAGGGACGCATCCTGGAATCGTCCCTGCTTCAAATGAGAATATTATAAGTATGAAAGTGGCCTATATTCAAGTCAGACAATGTGATTGTATGTGCTATCTTGCAGAGTGGTAGAACCGTCCAGGACCATCGTAGAAAAGAGGCAGCGAGTGTGATTGGGGGGGGGGGGGGGAGAGGGGGGGGGGGGGGTGAGGAAAGAAAATAAAGATATGCAATAATCGGGAGTAAAATATTTAAAAAAAAGAAGAAAAGAAAACAACTTTAGGAAAGGAAAGTTAGTTTTAATCATATTCTTTCCACGAGTATAGAGTGACGGCAGGCTACCTGATAAAGCATAACTTTTGTGTTATTTTTTGCATCTCCCCCCCCCCCTACCCTTAGTCTCCCCATAAAACATAACAAAACAAAAAATATCAGCCTTCATCTAGTTTTACTCCCAATAACACGTCCTTTAATTATATACATAGATCTTTAAATACCAACGTTCTGAGTAGTGGGAAAACCGCCATAAAAATAAATCTATACCAGCACCTAGACAGATATATCCACCAGTTTTTTTTGCACCGGCGCATTCCCACACGCCCGTTTTGCTGTTGGTCACAATGACGTGTCCAAAATGACACAACCGTTCGCTGTTGTCGACCCCAACAGCTAAAGCTGGTCACACCGGGACGCGCTCCACCAATTATAAGACTCGATGCCCCCAGCTGATGACCCCAACGTTAAGGTGTGCTAGGATAGTAACGGCTGTGGTTTGTTTTTCATCAGAATAAGTGAAGTTTTTAAAGGTAAAGACCAGTATTGGAAACGCCCCAATTTCAAAAAATGAAATGGAAGCTCTCATTACCAATCATGTGAAAGAATATGTTTTGACTAATATACGATGATAAAATATTTGCCGGGAAACCGCCTACTAATTCATATATTTGGTAAATTTGTTTCTCTCATGGTCTGTGAGAGATATAGGGTAGTCCCATATACATCTTTCTGTGTATAGTGCTTGTAACTTTACGAAGAATGGGCCAAATTTCTTATCATTTTGATGATTCCAGAACCTTGCAGATGCTAGATGCTACATGTAGATGATCAACCTTTTCTGATCGATTCCACAACGTTTCTTTCACAATGCAATCGCATGACCATAACTGGTCTTTTCCTTTAAGACAATAATATTATTGTCTAAAAATGTCTATATTCATTCATTCATTCATTCATTTTATTTCCAATTCTCGTAAAAGATACATTCAACAATATATTATACATAATTATAAGAAAATATTATAAACAATACAAAGAATATGGAGGAGCCAGTAGAGACCATTTGCCTTTAAAAGGCTGGGCATATGATAACAGTTAAATACTAAATGCTAGGCCTACTTTATCTTGGTTATTTAATCACCAATGTATCATTTTTTTTAATTTATAGGTTTTTATTCATTAATGATTGATTTTACAGATTTAATCAACCAAATTAAATTATAAAATAATTAAATCTATAAAAAGATGTGAATCATTTTTCTTTTACCCATCATGAAATATGAAACAGACACACAATATAGAGCTTAATTAAAGGTACTATGTCCCATTTGCAGGCCCAAAAAATGAAAAAGTTAAATTCCAACTGCATTTGAAAGATAATACTAATTTAGAACTTCCCTAAAAAAGGTGGGGCTTGAAAATGTCTTCAAGTGGGAAAATAACGACTATTAGTTGTCAAATCGACTTTAGGGCTATAGAGCCCAAAAGTAATAGTCTTGATTTTCAGACAATTGTACCGAATGGTCATACGTTTTATGCTGCGCAAAGGTTCAATCAGTTTAATCTTGACCATCACAAGAAGAGGGTTATTTGATGTAGACAAATGATCATGTACCCTTTACAACTCTTTTCATGTATGTTATTACCAAGGAAAAAAAAAGCCAGTCAGTCACTCAATTGTGTCTGACAGTGAAGTCTAGCAAGTAAACGGGTTTCCTTGCATAATTTGAATATGAGGACCCTGCTAACGTTTAAATTTCACAGATAGGACATACATGACATATTCAAAATTCCTGCAAAGTTCTACAGAATTTGAGGTTGGCTGCAAAAGGGACATAGTACCTTTAAAGCAACTTCAAACATTCATATGAATGCTATGAAGAATGCTTTAATATTGTCTAGGCTAGAACCATCAATTTCTTGATATACATATTTTGCAGTCCACTTTTCTTTATATGCTGCCTTATTGTTAGGCTTATATTTTCTTATGCTGTTCCTTGAGAGCAGAAAAACCCAAGAAATGATATCATGTTGGTTAAAAGATATTCTTCAGTATTATGAATGAATTATTATAATAATGGACACCAAGTCTAAGGAATTAGACCACCTAAAAAAGAAAAAAAAAAAAAACCTGTCAAATTTGATCGACGTCATTTCACAAGATTTACGATGACGGCCTCAATCAAGTTCTCCATCAAATCCCAAGTTTTCCCCTGTTTTTCTTCTTGTTTCGGAAGTGCAAATCGCCCCGACACCGCGGGGTGTTAGACTCATACTAGGGCCCACCTGGGGCCGTGCTCCGAGTAATTGGGCGTTATGGTCGGCGAACTCCGCCCTCCATTTCAAATTGCAAAGTTCAGGGAAAGCGAAAGAAGGAGTTAATGGGACTCAGGGGGCTTCCCCCCACCCCCACAATCCCTCATCTCTCCCCGACAAAAATTATTGATGCCTGCCAACCATGAATGGAGTACGTACACAGCGTTGGACTCTATTTTCGCCTTACCCCCCCCCCCCGCCCCCCCAGTTAAAAAAAAAAAATCATTACGCGGGGTCCACATTTAATGGTGTTTAGAAAATAAGTCAATTTGAGGTTGAGTTCTGTCATTTAGACAAAGTTTTGTATTCATATTAAAACTTGAAATAAACAAGCAAACATATGCAAAAACAATAACAGCAAAAACAATAACAGCAAAAACAGACAAACAAAGCCGGGAAAAAAAATCTGTATATATTAGAAGAGTTTATTTGTTTTTGCTGATCACGAATAAAGAGATGTCTTTCACAGTCCCCACCCGATTTAAAAAGGTTAAATAGTGTCGTCACTCCTCTTGATCGCAACGCCCTGACCCTTGCCCCCATCTTCGAAACGAGAATCCGTGGTCGACGCCCTCAACGAAAGCGATGATGAATGACAGGCAGTCATTTGAAAAAAAACTGCTCTCGAAAAAAACTGGTAATGAGGAGCGCTCCTAGATTTACCCTTATACGTGTATTTTCATGCTATGATTCGACGTATGTTTACAAGCTGTTTCCCCGACTTGCGTGTTCGCACATTTTCGTCGAAGAGAATAACTGGCATAATAATAATATTGACTGACATTAGAGTGCCATATTTTGTTTGAGAGATACTGAAATATATTTTTTCTGAATTCCAAATTCTGGATTATTGTGGAACTGTGAAGGACATCTTTTAATCCAAATTCGATATTTATAAATGCTGAGGAAATTGACGGTGAGACAGATGGTGATTGACGTCTAGAAATAGACATTATAACCTGCATTTGATTTTGATATTGAGAACAACACGAGGTTAATTATCAACGATGAAAGTGGGAAATCCGGTAAGAATCATACATTTCTGGACATAGAGGTCATTGAAAATGATTTGAACCACCTCAATTGAAGCATTTCTTACCCCCTTTATTTTCTTTCATTATTCCGTGTCTCCTTTGGACTCTTTTAAAATCAATGACTCGATAAAAAATTTGACAATTTCATTTTAATCACCCATCTTTCTCTTTGTTATAGGCTAAGGCCAGTCTTTGACATATTTGATCTAAAACAAAGCAGCAAACTTTGGACAAATATGTTGTTCATGTTTTGTTGTCCAAAAACTGTATTTCTTGATATTAAAGAACTTCTGGGACATGGAACCTCGGGGTTTTGATGTTCTCAATAAAAAATAGAACAGCTTATTTTGATATTGCCTGACATCAGTTTAAACAAAATATATATCTTTACAATTTACTAAAGAGTTTTTTGTTAATAATATTTTTTTTCTACTTTCAACAGCGTGAATGTATCTCTGTCCACGTTGGCCAAGCCGGATGTCAGATTGGCAACGCATGCTGGGAGTTGTACTGCCTGGAGCACGGCATCCAGCCTGATGGCTATCTACCATCTGAGAAAACCACTTCGAAGGCGAGCGATGAGGCCTTCAATACTTTCTTCAGTGAGACGGGAGCTGGCAAACATGTTCCTCGGGCCATCTTCGTCGACCTCGAGCCGACGGTCATCGGTAAGGGAAATGATGAGGAGGAGGAGGAGGAGGAGGGGGAGGAGGAGGAGGAGGAGGATGATGAGGAGAAGGAGGAGGAGGAAGAGTAGGAGAAAGAGGAAGAGGAAGAGGAAGAGGAAGAGGAAGAGGAGGAGGAAGAGGAAGAGGAAGAGGAAGAGGAAGAGGAAGAGGAAGAGGAAGAGGAAGAGGAAGAGGAAGAGGAGGAGGAAGAGGAAGAGGAAGAGGAAGAGGAAGAGGAAGGGGAAGGGGAAGATGATGATTGTGATGGTGATGATGTTGGTGATTGTGGTGGGGATGATGATGATGATGATGATGATGAGGAGGAGGAGGAGGAGGAGGAGAAGGATGGCGGTGATGATGGTGATTGTGGTGACGTTGGCATGGCGATGGTGATGATGATAGTGATTGTGTTGAGGATGGTGACTAAGATGGTGAATATGGTGATGATGATGATGATGATGATGATGTTGAAGATAATGATGATGATGATGACGTTGAAGATAATGATGATGATGATGATGATGATGACGTTGAAGATAATGATGATGATGATGATGATGATAAGCCAATGTGGTAGAGCAAACGTGAAAATGAGTCCGAGGAAGATATCATTATATTAAACAGCAATGCCCCCAAAAACGAAGAAGAAAAACTCAGTAAAAGGGTGAATAAAAAAATATTAACCGATGAAAGAGGATCAAAACTTAATATTTTTTTAGAAAGTAAAGCAAAAAGAATGACAAAATGAGAACTTGTATCAAACCAAAAGGATATGATTGTGAATGAAGAAGCGTAATGAATAATTGATGAACAAACAGATTAAGATAAGAGTAGGTGAATGGGGACACCAGATGTGTAATCCAGAGCAAGTTCCATCACGAACTTTCTTCGACATGCCGAGGAGCTAGGCTACCGAAGCCTCATTCATCAAACCGCGACCGACAGCCAATTCAGTTTTATGGCACTTGACAGCCCCGCATTACATCGGAAATGCAAATTGATAATTGATGCTTGGCGCGTGCCACGAGGATAACCATTCGTAACAAAACAAAATTTGGACATTATCGTCTGCGAGCAATAGTGCGACTTGCAGGGCACCCGTCAACGCTTCGACGAGGCCGAAAACATTCCGATCATTCCAAGAGGGTTTATCATACTTTGTAGATACTAGTACAAGGGGGCTTGGGGAGAACTCAGCGAGCAAACAGGGTTCTCAGCTACTGACCGTTTGATTATTTGATGTTTTGTTTTTCATTCTCCTCCATTTTTACGTATGATTTATTTGTTTTTCTTGCCGTTTCTTTGTCTTCCACCTCTCTGCCCACATCCCCGTTTTACTTCCTTCGTACAATCTTTTTTATCCTTCTTTATCCTCGCCTCTCTGCATTTTTGTATTTATATCGCTCTCATATAAGAAAGTGAGAATCTACATATTACTACAAAATATCTTTAAGGGAATTTTCCCCCAGAAATATTCAAAGGCGGAGGGGGGGGGGGGGCTCATTCCCGAATCCCTCCTAGCGATACTTTCCTAATCCAACCCGTTTCTTCTCCTTGTGTCTATTTTAAGAACTACTCTACTCAACTCGTCTTCCCTCACCCCTCTCTCGTACTCTCTCGATCAGGGGCGGCAGAACGACTTTCAAAGTGTGGGGGGGGGGGGGGGACCAACAAAAAAAGGGCACATACAAAGCGAAAATACACAATTGTTTAGACATTGGTATATAGCATACCCCTACATTGTGATTACATTATCAGGAATTATTTCAACATTTTTTTGTTTCTCTATACGAGATATTGCAAGATCATACTTAGCAGTAGGGTCTGATGGTCTGAGTATTCATTTGCAGAGGTGAAGGGGCACTTATCTAAAGTGAAAAGGGGCACTTCTCATACAAAAGGGGCATTTACTTGAGATTAAAAAGGGCACTTATGAGAATGGGAAATGGACACTTAGTGCAAACGAAAATATTGTCGAAGGAAAAGAGAAAAGGGGCACATGTCAAAATAAAAGGCGCACTTATCAGAGGTGAAAGGGGAAGGGGCACTATTACAAAGTAAAGGTGGCACTTTTCCTATGTAAACGGAGGCGCTTAAAAAGAGGGGGCACTGGTCCCTGCACCTCGGGGCGCCGCCTCTCCCTCTCTGCTCTCGATATACTGTCAAAAAGATTGCTCTGTGCAATTCATAACGAAGGAGATAGCAATTCGAATCAAAGTGAATCTTCCAATCTTTTTGAGCATCTTCCTCCGCGCCACCCACGCCCAATTTTGTTGATGAATGATAACGGGATGACAGGCGCAAGCTGGATGGATTTCTCGGTAAGTCAGGGAGTTGGGTAAATGTTGTTTACATCTTAGTCATTGAAGAAGGCATTTATCGAGATCCTAATTCACTTCGAAGCATATCATGCTATTTGATATTGCGGTCGAATTCTCGGCGATAAAGTGAGAGGGCGAGATGAAAGATATTCCACAGTCCACGATCCTTGTATCATTGGCTACAGGGGCGTAGAGTGGGCCCAGTCATTAAGGGGCGCTGGTGTCGGGGGAGGGGGGGGGGGGGCACTGCCCACGCGAGACTAATCTTTAACAAAATATTTGCCAATGACCGGGTAGAGTGGGGGAAGTGATCGTACTATTTTCTTTTCACGTTCTCTATCCATCTCCTCCCCCCCACATTCGATGAGCAGGGGGCACGTGCCCCTGTCCCCCATGTAGCTTCGCCACCATCGGGTACTATCTTATCTGGAGATACCGTTCTCGCCTCGCTATTGCTCGCAAAATTGATTTTATTTTGTTAATTTGAAATACTGATAGCAGACGGCTTTGATGACGCTTTGTCAAAGCGAGAAAAAACGAATATAATGTTTCGTTTCGGATGGAGCCATTAGCATGTATTAAAGTTTACCGAATCAAGTTAAAAAACTGAATATCAGAGATCAAATCGCATCGTCAATCATTCGAAACAGACTTGAACAACAAGAGATAGCCGGTTCATTTAGAAAATGAGAAACGCACATTAATTAAGGCAACAAAATAAGGAATGCAAAAGGTCAAAGAACTACAAATAGCATCGGAATCACACAGTTTATTATTATCATCATGGCCCTTTTCCTCTGATTCTTCTTCTCTTTCTCACTCTATTATATTTTCTCGCCACTCTCGACTTCTCTCTATCTCTTTCCCTATTTATTACCAAACAACATTTCCCTTCGTCTTTTTTTTCTGCATTCCTTTATATCCCCTTCCATCTGTCTCTCCCCCTACTCTCTCTCTCTCTCTCTCTCTCTCTCTCTCTCTCTCTCTCTCTCTCACTCTCTCTCTCGCCTCTTCCCCCTCTCTCCACTCTCCCTCCCCCTCTCTCTCCCTCACCTCTCTCTATCTCCCTCTCTCTCTGTCTCTCTCATATCCTTTCTCCTCTCCCATTCTTTCCCCTCTTATCTCCTCTCTTTCCTCCTCTCTCTCTCATCTCCCCTTCTCCCTCATCTCTCTCTCTCTCTCCTCTACTCGATCATTCACCAGTTTCCTATAAGCACTATGGATGACAATCGTTGTAGGAGAGACCCTAGCTTCCACGTGCCGATCGACGACCTTGTTATTCATAATTATAATATTCGTCACATGTTATACCAGCTGACTCATGTTCTCCTTGAAATGATATGTCCGTGATTTGTAGTCTACATGAATGACATGATATTCTAATGATATAGCGCCGTTCGTTGTGTCATAGATTAAACAAGGCTCATGTGATGATGGATTTAATGAGTGATAAGTGATGACGATGTTGAGTGATTATGTTTACTGAGGGAGAGAGAGAGAAAGAGAGAGGGGGAGGGGGAGAGGGGGAGGGGTGCAGACAGAGGGAGAGAGGGAGAGAAAGAGAGAGAGAGAGAGAGGGCAGAGAGATAGAGACAGAGAGGTAGAGATAGAGAGAGGTAAAGAGAGAGAGAGAGAGAGAGGTAAATAGAGAGAGAGGTAGCGAGAGGGAGGGGGACAGAGAGATAGAGAAAGAGAGGTAGAGAAAGAGAGAGAGAAAGAGAGAGAAAGAGAGAGAGAGAAGAGAGAGAGAGAGAGAGAGAGAGAGAGGGGGAGGAAGAGAGAGAGAGAGAGAGAGAGAAGGAGAAGGAGAAAAGGGTGGGGGGGGGGGGGAGAGTCGGGGTGAACGAATGAGTAAGAAAAAGCGTTTAAGGCGTTGGTGAGCACATTTTATTTGGAAGATTATGTGAGGGGGATTTGAATTGAAAAGAGGGAGGTATAATGGAGGGGATCATGAACATGATAAAGGGTGCAAAGAAAAGAAAAGAGACAATTTGACAATATTTGATTCTAAAAAGAAGAGCCAATCTGTATTTGTCAAATTAGGAGAGCGGGAATATAAGGAAGAGGTTACGAGATATGAATCACTTTCTTGTGGTCATGATATATATAATAGAGATTGGCTAAAATTAGGCTTAATCCCCCTTTTCTATTTACATCTACTATAGACGAAATCCGCGCCGGTACCTACCGTCAGCTCTTCCACCCTGAGCAGCTGATCACCGGCAAGGAGGATGCTGCCAACAACTACGCCCGTGGTCACTACACGGTCGGCAAGGAGATCGTCGACCAGGTCTTGGATAAGATCAGAAAGTTGGTGAGTTCAAAAGTTCTTGCTTTGTCCTGCTAACATTTAGTAATTAAAAAAAAAATTGAAATGAATTCCTTTGTCTAGAACCATTACGAATAAATGTGATGGCTTTCAAGTCTTACATTCTAGATTAGGTATTTTGTGAACTCACTTCCGGAGGAAAGGGGAGGCTTAATTTTTGAGAGTTAGGAACAACTTTTGAAGGGGGCATATACAAAGAATTAGAAGGGGCAAAGTCAGGAGCAGTTCTAGAATAACGATTTTTTTTTTGAGGGGCGGCCGGGCCTCACATCGTTTTTAATGGGGGTCTTGAATAAAATGTTGGGGCTTCAGCCGCCCCGACAATCCCCTCTAGACAGGTCTGTCACAATGGCTTTTGTTTTTAAAGCGCGGCAGCAGCCAATGTCCCCATCTGAAATACGATTGGGGTGACCCCATTTTACTCAACAAAGATCAGTCAAGATACAGATTTGATAGAAAATGATTGTTTCTTTTTCATTCTCTAATATTTGATAGTTTGTAGAGAATAACAAGATGATGGAATTGCATATATCAATATAATGACAACATTCGTTATTTTTTTCTAGGCTGACCAGTGTACAGGTCTCCAGGGATTCCTCATCTTCCACAGCTTCGGCGGCGGCACCGGCTCGGGGTTCACCTCGCTGCTCATGGAGCGTCTCTCTGTCGACTACGGAAAGAAGTCCAAGCTTGAGTTCGCCATCTACCCAGCGCCCCAGGTATCTACTGCCGTGGTCGAGCCCTACAACGCTGTCCTCACCACCCACACCACCCTCGAGCACTCCGACTGTGCCTTCATGGTCGACAACGAGGCCATATACGATATCTGCCGTCGTAACCTCGACATCGAGCGTCCTTCCTACACCAACCTGAACCGTCTCATCGGCCAGATCGTCTCCTCCATCACCGCCTCTCTGCGATTCGACGGCGCCCTCAATGTTGACCTAACAGAGTTCCAGACCAACTTGGTGCCTTACCCAAGGATTCATTTCCCTCTAGCTACGTATGCTCCCGTCATCTCTGCAGAGAAGGCCTTCCACGAGCAGCTGAGCGTTTCCGAGATCACTAACTCTCTGTTCGAGCCCGTCAACCAGATGGTGAAGTGCGATCCCCGTCACGGCAAATACATGGCCTGCTGTCTCCTCTACCGTGGTGATGTCGTCCCCAAGGACGTCAACGCCGCCATCGCTCACATCAAGACCAAACGTTCCATTCAGTTCGTGGACTGGTGCCCAACTGGCTTCAAGGTCGGTATCAACTACCAGCCACCTACTGTCGTGCCCGGCGGCGACTTGGCCAAGGTCCAGCGTGCCGTCTGCATGTTGAGCAACACAACTGCCATCGCCGAGGCCTGGGCCCGTCTCGATCACAAGTTCGATCTGATGTACTCCAAGCGCGCTTTCGTCCATTGGTACGTCGGAGAGGGTATGGAGGAAGGAGAGTTCTCCGAGGCTCGTGAGGATTTGGCTGCTCTTGAGAAGGACTACGAAGAAGTTGGTGTTGACTCAGTCGATGAAGCCGATGAAGAAGAACACGACGAGTACTAACTTCACTGGAAGAAATGTTAAAGACGGTGCTACAAATAACTCTCTGTGTGAGCAAACTGTACCTGAAATTTAGATCAAGAACTCGTGGGCCTATAGTACTGTTGAACCTCGTTACATCCAACTTCTTGGAGCCTAAGGCCTCGTTACACTAAACTCTTGTTACAATGAAACCTTGCTATATCGGGCTTTAAAAGAAAAAGAATTGAATTAATTGGGACTGGCGTAATTACCTTGTTATAATGAGAATTTGCTGTAAAACAGTGGTCTTTATAAATGGGTTCCACTGTTTGTAATGTGGTGCTGCTCAGTACTGGCATGACAAAGTAAATTTGCACGGATTTAGCCGTGTATGTCCAAACAAACGACTATTTTGATTTTGCCTCAATGAAAAAAGTTAATGGTACTGATATAGCAATCATATTTTCAACAGGAAAACATTATGATTCTTAGTCTAGCAAAGAGATTCAAACTAATTCCTCAACGGAAATGCGGCCAATTTCCCGTAGTAAATGTAAGCAGGAAATCAACCGATTTTGAAAAGGCAAGAAGTGTTTATCCTTTCATTGAAAAAAACAACACCTACATTCAACTTAACATTGAGCAAAAGCTGAACAAATTGTGACTTCTTTTAGTGATAACACATGAACTAGTAAATAGCCAAATATCGGTTTCATTCGATAAGTTTATACACAAAGAATTCGATTCGCAGAAACATTCACTTTTGAGTATAAATTTGACTGTTTCTTTAATAAATATATAACAGCTATGCTATCGACACTAAACAGGCTGGTCTTCAATAGTCCACGTTGTATACTTGGTGTGTCTACTCTCTTAAAAAAAAAGAGTGAATTTTCACTCTATTTTACTTTCTTGGGAGTGACGTCCGTGATCACTTGTTTAGGAGTGAAAATCGATTGATTTCAGAGTGCTCTCTAAGAAGAAAAGAGTGAATGTTCACTCTATTTTCACTACATTTTCACTCTCCAGAGAAGTGACGTCCGTGATCACTCGATTTTTTTTAGAGAGTATTATAACATTTTATCATGACGCAAATACACACGTTTCCCTTAAACCTGGAATAACAACTTTTTGTTAACCCCTTTGCATGAAAAGATTGTGAGAATATGATTTATTCTTATCAAATATTATAGTTTATATTTTCTCAGAACTCTCCTGGTCGATCGCTACGACGATTTACATTGATCGGTAAAGCTCTGATACGATATCAACTTTATCAATTAGGATAGACCACATTCTCACAGCTATTCCAACTTAATGGGTTACAGTGTAATACTGTTCTTCTTCTTCCTCATTTAGGTAACTTTTCGTTATAAATGATAATATTTGTTAGATCTGTGCAAATTTAAACCGCCGTGCAATAAACAGGATACGGTTTGTGGTACATTGCTTGGCAAGACTTGCGGAAATAATGAAAAAGAGAAGAAATTTGAAGTTACTTTGGCAAACAGTACTACAGTAGTATTACAGTATACACTCCCGTCGTATTTTGGCGAGGGAAAAGAATTTCGAACAGAGCCCAAACAATAAATCATTGCAGGTGCGTAGATTCTTTCAGACACAACCGATAGTTCAGAGGGAAGTCTTCTTACAGTAGAATTAAAGAAGGATATTCAGGTATATCAAGTTTAGGGTGGAATGATTTTTTTGCTCACATCAGAATTGCTTCAGAGGGACACACCAGGATGGACATTTACCAAACAGAGCTAAGAGTAGAACGCGAATTCTCTTTTAAATAAGCCGAAAGTATCGATAAATCTTTGTATCTCTGTAAAACATAAGAGAGGTTTGCGTTGATGATGAATTGTTTGGAGAAGAATGTGTAGAATTAGGTGATATCGTTTCCTTTTACAAGTACTTGGTTTGAAAGAGGTATGATGTTTTCAGAGTTACTTTTGTTTGAAATTGAAAAATGAAGGCATTCCTTTGCTACACCAGTTACTATAAGATTACCTTTGGTCGTACTAGAGAAATTGCTGCCTTTGTAGATATGTTTATTTATACTTATTAATGTATAGTAGCAAGTTTTAGTTACACGATTTCAAGGACTTTCGAAAAAATCTCCCTCAGGCAATTTCAATATCCTTTTCTATCACCTTTTGAAAAGTGCAAACATTGCGATGATTATTGTATTACATAATTGGGGTATTTTCAATAGGGTATTGAAAATGTCCTCCGAGTAGATTTATCAAAAGGCTTAGCGGTCGCTTTGTATGTGAAGGTAGAATAATGAAAAAATTATGAGGGCGTTTTGCAAAACTGGCATTCCTTTTATTTTTATTGCTCAGTAGTAAGATGACGTATGATTGATGAATGTGATAATTTTTTTTTATATTTGAAAATTTGATAGCATGTAAGTTGATCGTTTCCTACTTCGAGAGGATGGTAAAGAATGGCTGATAGCGAAAAATGGAGGAAATAAACTAAGCTTTCATGCATTGTACTAAATGAAAATGTGTGAACCCTACTCCCTTCTCCCTAAAAAAGAAAGAAAACAAAAGAAACATCTTTTTACAATTATTGCTGTTGTGCTGAATGTGGATTTGCTAAGTTTAAGATGATATATACATGTATGTGCTATAAAGGATGATACAATGCAATAACTATCAGCAAAACAATTTCTGTAGTATTAATTACATTAATGAAATAATTAAATTTATCTTGGTATCAAGTTAGACACAGAATTGTGTAATTTGTGCTTGGTTTTTTGGTATAAAAACAAGATTTTTTTTTGATGAAGAAACTATCTCGGCATAACAAGTATGTTTTCATAGTGTGCAATGGTGATGAAATGCCTTACAATTTTTTGTCGAAATATCACATCACACCATCATCATTAAATATAAACATAATCGCAAAGGCTTTCGGAAAATCAACCTAGATGGTAAATACAGTCACCTATTAATTGATGTACTACTTGTAGTTGATTTATCGAAAGTCTTTACAACTGTGTTTAATTGTCTTTTAAACCAAAGTCTGAGCCCGACTTAAAGGGATAGTCAAGTTCTGTTGAAGAGGGCGTTACACAAAATAATTTTTTGTGAGTTAATGAAAAACTGAGCATCAAATATGAAAGAACATACAATTAAAATGACAAAATCATCTTTGTTTGATCAAAATCGGTTCAGAGACGGCTGAAATATCCATAAATATAACGATTTCTAATATTTGAACCAGCCATTGAAAAAACGTGAGAGCGCCTTATACATTTTATTCCAGCCAATGCCGATGTCGGCTTTTCGTTGGCTTTTTCGTGTTGGTTATAATATGCACAACCAGCCGGCTCGTGTATTGTTATTACTAATTAATGAACTCATTAACGGTCACCGTTTAAAAGAAAAAAGTGAAGCTGAATTGGTATGATTGTATTGGCTAACAAGAACTCAACTATCCCTTTAATGTCAGAATAAATGTCATGTAATGCAATTTTTTTAACGGTAATGAAGCTATGATGTTGTGCCTAAAATGAATGCTATGTATGAATGCTGATAGTGGTATAATAAATTATTAATTGTGAACAAAATATCTCATCTGTCTCAAATCTTGATTCAAAGCTGTTTCTTCAAAATACAAATCATGGATTTATAAATACATGTTTAATACCAGTGTTTGGTAAGATACAAATGTATTATTACACTATGACTTTCACACCTTTCTCTCATTTGTGATATTTTAAGATTTTCTGATCATCTATTTCAATCAAATATTCTCATAATTCTACTTGTTCATCATCATAAAATATTCTCTTACAGAATGAATATCCAACCTTTCCTTTCCTTGAAATATTATCTTCTCTTTATTCATTAATTTCCATTAAAGACAACAATCTCATATATCTTGCCATTCATTTAAATAAAAAATCTCATTTCTCAAACCATTCATCATCATAAAATATTCTCTTACACGATATATATATCCAACCTTTCCTTTCCTTGAAATATTATCTTCTCTTTAATCATTCATTTCCATTACAAAAAAAAAAAAAAATTCTCCAAGCACTACTTAATGCCTTTCATTTAAAGGTTGTGTGAGATCCAAATATAAGTTGATTCCTGTTGATGTGCATGGCTGCATACAACTCATATTTTGTTATTCAAACGTCTAAATTTTCATTTCTCAAACCATTCACTTCCAGAAAATATTCCCACACCTCCAGCACAAGATGATAAACGGTGATGTACAAAAAATAGGTGACATACCGAGCCAACATCACTTATTCTTTCGTCATAAATATTTAGCTTGTATGCACTTCATAATAACTGAACAATTTAAATCGGATAGCATTGAGCTAAAAATGTGAATTTATTGTAATATACATCACACAATTATGCATGAATAGTGCACCTCGTCATGCTGTACTTAAGAAAGTACATGTATACATACATATGGACTATGTAGAAGTGATATAAACATATATTATTAGTCATACTTATGTCTGGTTATTACTTGGTTACAACATACACATTACATGGATGAGCAATTAACTGATATGAAAATTACTCTCTCCATAAGAACTATTAGAAAAAAGCAAAAAAAGGCGGACAAAAAAAAAAAGTATCTGATGAAACGTGGTGTGTCTTTCGTCAAAGACTTCAGATTTTTCTTGAATCTAAATTCATTCAAATTGTTGTACATTTAATGAGGTCAGTAATAAGTAATACAAATCAAATAATTTAATCATGTCTCTGAAGAAGAAGTAAATATAAACAAGTGGGCCTAGCAATGACTCAATATCAGGTTTCAGACAGTACACACAACGATAATGTGTAGCTCTTCTGACCAAAACCCTGTTTAGTTAGCCTTGAGAATTAGATGTAAAATTGAAAATGAGCATATGTAAGTCCTTTAAAGCCAGTCTGCACTAGTTTAGCCAGAAGGGATCAGACCTCCCTGCAAGGTCACTGACAGGTGGTTATCTCATCAAATCACCTCCCAATTAACATAGGAAAAAGGGGACCATGGGGGACCAATGGTCACCGATTAGGCATTGTTTGCTATATAGAGGGAGCAAGTAGCTACAAGTAGTGCAGTGGGGTTTTAACAAAAAAAAACGTAGAAATTCTGGAATTGATGTTCAGAGGTTGTGTGCTTTTTCTTCTGTTTGAAGTCAGAGGGATGTTAACTCTGTGTATAATGATATGAGTTTTTGCCCTCCTGGCTCCAAACAGACAATTTTTTTTAGAACAGACGCTTGCCTGTTCTTTGACTGAAAGATCCTCACACCTTGGTCTAGCTGGACATGTTCCAGCTGTTAGTTTGATAACTGTCTCTGGTCTTTGTCTCTTTGTTCTTGTCTAGAATACCATTAGAATTTGGTCTTACAAGACATCTCCAAAAAGCTGTTATCGTAAGAACAATCTCTTTGTGACTGCCTAGAATATCATTAGAACTTGGTCTTACAAGACATCTCCAACAAGCTGTCATCTTAAGAACAATCTTTTTGTGACTGCCTGGGATATGTTTGTAAATCTTGGTCTATCCATTATTATCTTGAGAAAGTGTCTCTACGATATTCTTTGTCGGAGGTATCCCCACACCTTGGTCTAGCAGGACATGTTCCAGCTGTAAAACAACCATCTCCTGCCTCCTCGTTCTATCCCGTGATACAGTCAAACCTGCTTTAGTGACCACCTGTCTACAAAGACCACCTGTCTTCAACAAGAACATGCTTTGTTTCCCTTGAAAACGATTTCTCATTAAAACATGTACTAAAGGAACCTGTCTACAAAGCACACGTTTTGTGTTTCCCTTGGGCGGTCGCCGTAGACAGGTTTGACTGTACATGAATATTTGTAGTTCTAGGTCTTTTAGGTCATCTTTCAGTTTTTAATATTAAGATCGGTCTTTTTTCATTTGCCTGAGATATGTCTGAACATCTTGGTCAAAATGGGAAAACAAGTTCTAGCTGTCATCTTTGAACTGTCTCTTATCCTTATTCTTGCCTACTATAAGCAGGGATGCCAGTTAGAAATGATCAGAGGGCCTGAAAATCACCTAGAATGAGCTATTTTTTACACAAAAAGCCTGAACTATGGCCTGATATAACTCGCCAGGGCCTGAATTCAGGCTTGTGCCTGAAAACTGGCATCCCTGTATAAGATTGTGGATCTTGGTCTGGGCAGCGTCTCACGAAACCTTCATAAGTACAAGTTCACCAACATCCCATTGAAATGCGTGTATCAAGTTTAACACGCGTTTCAATGGGATGTCGGTGAATTTGCACTTATGACGGTTTCGTGAAAGGCTACCCTGGTATCTTCTAGGTGTTATCTTGAGAACTGTCTCCTGTCTCTGGTCTTTCCTGTGACGTGTTTGTAGATCTTGGTCTTGTGTGCCATCTTCTGGTTGAGCTCTGCGTAGCTGAACTTCTTCTTGGCGTCTCGCTGCTGCTTCTTGCTCCCGTAGACCACTGAGAGAGAGAAAGGGGGTCAAGGATGATAATATACTGGACATTTTCGCTGGTAGATCTAATAATAATAATAATATAATAATATTTGGTTCTTGTATAGCACATATAATGAGGTGTCGTGGTCGTGGTCGTGGTCGAGTGGATATGTCACCGGACTGTCAATCACAAAGTCCGCGGTTCGAGTCCCGCCGCGGCGCTAATGTCCTTTGGCAAGACATTGATCTACAGTTGCCACACTCAACCCAGGTGATGTAAATGGGTACCTGGCAGGAATTAATTCCTTGAAATGCTAGAGGGCTGTAATGGCAGCCGTGCTAAAGCCAGGGTAATAATCAGGAGCGCCAGGAGTGTCAAGTCTGACAGACATGAGCGCTATACAAGAACCCAATATTATTATTTATTATCATATCACATTATATAATGTCTCTATGGGCTTCCAAAGAGCTTTGGAAATTATTACCCTAGCTTTAGCTCCGGCAGCCGTTATCAGCGCACAGTGCATTTCAAGGAATTATCCTACCAGGTACCCATTTACCTCACCTGGGTCAAGTGTGCCAAATGTAGATTAATGTCTTGCCAAAGGACATTAGTGCCGCGGCAGGACTTGAACCGCGAACCTTGTGATCCACAGTCCGGTGACATATCCACTCGACCACGACACCTCTAGATCTTCATCACAGGACAAGTATAATTCCTTTAACATAGGTCTATTATGGTCCTTACTCTAATGTTACCAATACCTATTTCTGAAACAGTGCTTTACCAGCTACAACATGTCCGATTTAAGGGCTTAATACAAAGTATTATTACCCTGGTCAATGGATTCAATTGCGATTCTGTACATTACTGAGCACTCTAGTCCTAGCTCTATGATCTAGTGACATTTTTGTCTGCAGTCATATTCCTACACAACTAATTATCTACCTTAACCCTAACACTAACAATGATGCAAACCCTAAGCCTACACATAGCCTAAAACCCAATCGCAATCTTTAAGGTAAAGACCAGTTCTGGTCATGCAATTGCATTGTGAAAGAAACGTTGTGGAATCGATCAGAAAAGGTTGATCATCTAGCATATAAGTATTGGTGTGTACTGCAAGATTCTGGAATCATCAAAACGATAAGAAATTTGGCCCAGTCTTGGTAAGGTTACAAGCACTGTACAGAGAAAGATGTATACGGGACTACGCGACATGTACGCGATATCTATCTGGTCCAGATAGATATAATAATTTACCAAATATACCAATTAGTAAGCGGTTTCCAAGCAAAATTTGTACCATCAAGTATTAGTCAAAACATATTCTTTCACATGATTGGTAATAAGAGCTTCCATTTCATTTTTTGAGAGGGGGGCATTTCCCAAACTGGTCTTTACCTTTAACCCTAACCTTTGCCTTCAACAAAGAAAAGATGGAGCATTAGTCGTCGGTGCAAATATTAGCACACCCTTATTTCACGTTAAGTGCTTTACCAAAGGATTTCAACCTGAGCAAACTCTGGTTCAGTCTATAACACACCATTACTCATTTGTAAATGAAACTAATGTGAAACATGCGAAACTAATGCATATTATTGACCATACAAGAGCAGTACACATTCAAGAGCCTATACAAAAAAATCATTGGCAGACAAGAACATTCTTAGCTTGAAAGTATGTTGAGCACTTTTGTTTCCTCTTCAGTCAGTGCCCCAAAATCTTCACATTCAAATTATCAGACAAATTTCCAGGGTAGCTCTAATAACAAGAGTGTGTCTGGTTCACTATACCAGGATGAGGAAATGGCTAGAATGGATTTGTTAACCGCTAAGAAGTTCAAGTACTTTGCGTCTGGTTTTAGCCATGCGAGCCGCATGGAAGAACCACTACAGATATAGAGAGTAGAGAGCACAGTCTTATGGTTGTGAAAATAGGAATGTAGCTGCTATAGCATAATGTTTTCTTCCTTTCAGGCGCAAGAAAGACAACCACGCTTAAGCAGATCAAAGAGAAAGTTGAGTTCTGATGAAAATGATTTGCAAACTTTTCAATCTAAAAAAAAATTCCAATGAGGAAGGATATGATAGTGGCAATGTCCACTGATCAAGATTGCTCTTGAAGTCTTCTCAAATTTCAAATATGACTAGAAATCTTTATAATTGGACCAAATTGCGATGCCACATATTTATGTAGTCAAACGTAGTGATGAACATGTCTTAGGTTTTTCATTGTTGGTAATTTTTTTTCTCCCCCTCTACCACCCCCTCCTTGAGTAAAAAAAAAAAGGATTCAAGGAAGAAAAATGGCATCTAACATTCCCCCTTTTGAGTACGGCAAGAAAATTGGGAAAACTAGGGGAAAATGAGGGGACAATCAGGGAAATAGGGCTAAAGTTGGGAAGAGAAAAAAAAAGGATAAAAATTAAAAAAAAATTGGGAAACCAATTTGAATCAGGTAATTATCAAGCCTGTTCTAGTTTAAATCATACTTCTTCTCTAGTAAATGAATGGGCCTATAGAGGTCAAAGGTCAATGAAAAAAAGGATACAGAGGTCAACGCTGGGCGGGACCTTGAAGCCAAAGGACTTGGCGACCTTCTGCAGGTCCAAGGTATTGACGTCGTAGATGTTCTTGAGGCTGTGGGCGTCGTAGGATCGGACGTAGCCCTTGTACGCCTCCTGGGCTGACCGGTGGAGGAAGTAGTTCTTCTCAATCAGCTTCTCCAACTAAGAAAGAAAGAGGAAAAGGTCAAGGTTCACTTGAGTTCTGGTAAAAAAAAGGAAATGAATTCTCACAGAATCCAACGAAACTTACACTGAATGTTCAAGATTACAAATAAATGTCATTTACCATACAATTTTGGTAGAAAATGTTATAATGGCCGAGTAATGAGCATAAAAAGATAAGGAAATCAAGGGAAGTAGGCCCAACACTATTTGTGTAGTCCCATATACATCTTTCTGTGTACATTCAAGTTCATTTCCATACATATATATATCTATACACATGTAATGCTATACATAAAGCATTAACAAATCTGAATCATTTATGTTGACAATTGATTTGGTTCGGCTTTTAGTTTAGACAGCTATATGTCATGATGCTATTCAATCAATCCTGATTACATCCCCTCCCCTCTCTCTTTCTTTCTCTCTCTTTGTTTGCTAACTGCAAGATCATGTTCTACTTTTCTAAACATATTTTGTCTTTGGAGGGGCCCCCTCCACTTTCTATCTGTTTGTCTGTCTCTCTGACTCTGTCTCTTAAAATCTCTTCTCTCTCTCTCTGTCAGTCTCTTTGTCTGTCTGTCTGTCTGTCTCTCTCTCTCTCTCTCTCTCTCTGTCAGTCTCTCTGTCTGTCTGTCTGTCTGTCTTTCTCTCTCTGTCAGTCTCTTTGTCTGTCTCTCTCTGTCTCTCTCTCTCTCTGTCAGTCTCTTTGTCTGTCTGTCTGTCTGTCTGTCTGTCTCTATCTTTGTCAGTCTCTCTGTCTGTCTGTCTGTCTCTCTCTCTCTCTCTGTCAGTCTCTTTGTCTGTCTGTCCGTCTGTCTCTCTCTCTCTCTCTCTGTCAGTCTCTTTGTCTGTCTGTCTGTCTGTCTGTCTGTCTCTCTCTCTCTTCAGTTTGCTAATTGCAAGATCATGTTCTACTTTTCTAAACATATTTCGTCTTTGCCCCTTCCCTTCCTATCTATTTGTCTGTCTTTCTGACTCTACCTCTCTCTCACTCTCTCTCTCACTCTCTCTCTCACTCCCTCTCTCCCCATCTCTCTCTCTCCATCCCCCCTCCCATCTTTCTCTCCACTCCTCCCCTCTACAGCGTTACCCAATATCTCACCTGAGAATGGATATCAGAGACTTTGCTCCAGCTGAAGTCAAACTCATTCAGGGGTACCTTGGCATGCTTCAGGTAACGCACAAAGCCAAGCTCTTCGGGTCGCAGGATCAGGAGGGCATGGCCTTTGCCCTTTAACCCTCGAGCTGTACGCCCAACTCTGTGAATGTACTCCTGCAGAGGAATAAATGAATGTTACATTAATCACCTTCATACTGAGATTTAAAAGATACCGTAATGTTCTACTTTAATATTCAACGTTTTCTATCCCCTCTCTTTATTTTTCACATTCAGTCTTTCATATTACTTATCTTGTATTTTACTGAACAGATGATAAAATCCTTAGTGATGAAGTGGTAATTCCAACCAATTAAGAAATGAAATAATATCTTTATTTTATGATTAGAGTAGATACAGTCTTTTAGCCTCGTGCAATTATTTAAATATTCAGCCGTACAACGAAACCAATCCTGTCTGTTTACTACTCCAGACTGCTGATTAAAACAATTAAATTGAGCACAACATAGATCTCATTGACCATAACAAATCATTCCATTACAAAACCTATTTTAAAGATAAACTCCAGTTCTGGTAATGCGATTGCATTGTGAAAGAAAAGGTGTGGAATGGATCAGAAACAGTTGATCATGTAGCATGTAAGTATTGGCGTGCACTGCAAGGTTCTGGAGTCATCAAAATCATAATAAATTTGGCCGAGTCTTGGTAGAGTAACAAGCACTGTACACAGAAAGCTATATATATGGGACAACACACAGTGTCGGCATAGGCGCCGGAAGTGGGGGGGCAGGGGGGGCAGTTGCCCCCCCAGTCAAAAAAGTGGGGGGGCAAAACGCATTTTTGCCCCCCCAAAACGCCCCCCCCCCCCCCTCCAAAAAAAAAAAAAAAAAGCAGTAAAGGAATAAACATGGTTTGTATATTTAACCAAAAAGAACATAACAATAATAAAAACCTGAATTAAAGCACATATACCATTCCATTCAAAGAAAAGGAAAGTTCACAGGAATTAAATTTTTTATAAACATTGCGCATGCTACCTATACGGTTTATAATAGCGATACGCGCATATCGTGGACATATTGTGCGAGAATGGGAAAACGTGTCTGTTTTTTTGGTTTTGTTATAGGGGTGAGAAGACATGAGCCCCTGAACGCTGGCGTACTGATGGGGGGGGGGGGTATATCTATACGATACCAGTGATTTACACATGTTGCTGTTATGACATGATTTTCCGGTATTTTTTCTCCATTTTTTTTAAAGTCATACCTTTTTATGCGTTTGTTGGAAAATAAGAAATTCCCAAATTACAGTCGGGCGAAAAATACGCTTATTTAGAAGCCTTTATGACATGGTCTGCAAAGTGGCTGGGCTCGAGCCCCTCCCCCCTCACTTTTTGAAAAAGTATGTTAAAGAGAAAAAGAAAGAAAGACGGAGAGAAAAAATAAGTGACCTGCCAATGTCACAAATAAGGCATAAAAAATGCTCATCTGACCGTAATTAAATGCCTAAAACCCCAGAGCTTACGGGTGCTCCGCCCCCGGACCCCACCAAGGGCCCTAAGGCGGGCCCCTGGATGCTCATCTGACCGTAATTAAATACCTAAAACCCCTGAGCTTCCGGGGGCTCTGCCCCCTGGACCCCACCAAGGGCTCTAAGGCGGGCCCCTGGATGCTCATCTGACCGTAATTAAATACCTAAAACCCCTGAGCTTCCGGGGGCTCTGCCCCCTGGACCCCACCAAGGGCCCTATAAGGCGGGCCCCTGGATGCTCATCTGACCATTATTAAATACCTAAAACCCCTGAGCTTCCGGGGGCTCTGCCCCCTGGACCCCACCAAGGGCCCTATAAGGCGGGCCCCTGGATGCTCATCTGACCATTATTCAATACCTAAAACCCCTGAGCTTCCGGGGGCCCTGCCCCCTGGACCCCACCAAGTGCCCTAGGGCGGCCCCTGGTTGCTCATCTGACCGTAGTTAAATACCTAAAACCCCTGAGCTTCCGGGGGCTCTGCCCCCTGGACCCCACCAAGGGCCCTATAAGGCGGGCCCCTGGATGCTCATCTGACCATTATTCAATACCTAAAACCCCTGAGCTTCCGGGGGCCCTGCCCCCTGGACCCCACCAAGTGCCCTAGGGCGGCCCCTGGTTGCTCATCTGACCGTAGTTAAATATTAAAACCTCTGAGCTTCTGGGGGCTCCCCCCCCCCTCTGGAACACGTCAATGGCCTTAAAGAGGCCCCTGGATGCTCATCTAACCGTAATTAAATACCTAAAATCCCTGAGCTTCCGGGGGCTCAGCCCCTTGACACCCTGCCGAGGCTGGACCCCACGCCAATTTACGCTCTACCTGATCGTTAATACTTCACTTTGAAAAACGTTCCGCGGGACCTGCATGTAACGTGTAAGACTGGTGGTGATGCAGATTTTTCGTCTGCCCCCCCCCTTCCGAACGTTTTTTCTCATTACGTCACTGCCCTCGGAAGGTGAGCCCCCTGGAATGTTTGCCCCCCCAATCCCAAACTGCTTCCGGCGCGCCTGAGTGTCGGGGCTTGTACTACCTTGATTTCCTAATCTTTCTATGCCCATTACTCAGCCATTATACATTTTCTTCCAAAATTGTTTGGCACATGTCATTTATTTGTAATCTTGAACATTCAGTGTAAGTTTCGTTTCATTCTGTGAGAATTAATTTTCTTTTTTTTACCAGAATTGGAGTTTATCTTTAAACTCAGATCTGTTCAAAAAAAAAAAATCAATAAAATTATCTAAATTGGCACTGAGTCAATTGAATGTCCAGGTTGAATGAAAGACTTCACGACCCTACTGACCTTAGGGTCATCAGAAGGGTCGTACTGAACGATCCAATCAACGGCCGGGATGTCCAGACCCCTGGCAGCCACGTCAGTGCACAGTAGGATCCCGGTCTGAGCATTACAGAACTTGAAGAAGGTCTGGGTACGCTTGCTCTGCTTCTGCTTGCCCTGGTAAGGAAGACAAGGAAATATTTGAAGAAATATTATCTTAACCCTTACTGTACTGGGCTATTTCGAGCACTCTCTGACTGGGGGGGGGGGCCTGGGAGGCCCCCCCCTATGATCTCGGCCGTCGAATGTCCGATGAACGCGAAAATTTGCATGTTTGTAGATATTTACGTAAGGAACAAGATGGTATAATTAGTTTTTTCCTAATATGCAAATTTTTGTCGTTATAGCCTAGTTAATTATGCAAAATGCTAATTTTATGCATTTTACAGAAAACTCTACATATTTGTCCATAGACTTGTGAAGAATCGTGAAAATGTATTGAATAAATGTTTCCTTCATCTCAAATTCATTAGGTTTCATTATTTTTATGATATTTGAAAATGCATAGGTTAATTTGCATAAATTATGAATACGCAAATTACGCATTCATGAATACCTAATCTGGAAATATACAGGGAACTAGAATCATTACAAAAATTGTCAGACTCCACTTTTGTTATGTTGAAACTCATTATTCATATGAAACTTCTTTTCTAACACAAAATAGTTATTTGATGTAATTAATAATGATAATTTATGCAAATTTGATGCGATTTTCAACTTTACTGTATTTCATTGTTTTTATTTGTTATTATATCTATTGTTTTATTTCTAATGTATTCTTTTGTTCTGAAATACATCAAGTTACTTTGAGAAACATATAAAAGCAATTTGATATCAATTCATATCTTCACATTTCTGCTTGTACATGAATATATGCAATTATGGCACTTTTTTGATGACATGCGCATACTAATTGTTATGTAACACCTTACAGGTATATCCGATTTCGACGAAAATGGTATCAAAATGTGCGTAAGACTTGAAGGAAAAAAGTCATGAAACGACAATTCGAAATTCCGAGCGGTTGCGGCGCGATCTCCGAAAATGTCGAGGGGGGGGCCTCCCAGGCCCCCCCCCCAGTACAGTAAGGGTTAAAGCCCCACTGCACTACTTGTAGCTACTTGCGCCCTCTATATAGCAGTCAAAGCCTAATCGGTGCCTGTTGGTCCCCATGATCCCCTTTTTCTTATGTTAAAGGTAAAGACCAGTTATGGTCATGCGATTGCATTGTGAAAGAAACGTTGTGGAATCGATCAGAAAAGGTTGATCATCTAGCATCTAGCATCTGCAAGGTTCTGGAATCATCAAAATGATAAGAAATTTGGCCCATTCTTCGTAAAGTTACAAGCACTATACGCAGAAAGATGTATATGGGACTACCCTATATCTCTCACAGTCCATGAGAGAAACAAATTTACCAAATATATGAATTAGTAGGCGGTTTCCCGGCAAATTTTTTATCATCATGTATTAGTCAAAACATATTCTTTCACATGATTGGTAATGAGAGCTTCCATTTCATTTTTTGAAATTGGGGCGTTTCCAATACTGGTCTTTACCTTTAATTGAGAGCTGATTTGATGAGATAACCACCTGTCAGTAGCCTTGCAGGGAGGTTTAATCCCCCTGGCCAAACTAGTGCAGATGGGCTTCAATAAAAACCCTAGACATAAGTAATAGGCGTGGAGGCTCAGTGGTAGAGCTGTGGTCTTGCAACCTGGAAGTCCCGGGTTCGAAACCAAGTCGATGCGCTAGTGCCCTTTGGTTAGGCAGTAATCTTCTTTTATGCAATACCAAGTCCCTTGGGGAGGACTTAAAGCCATTGGTCCCCTGATTTATCTGATTGCATACACATGCTCTTTTTGCAATCAGGTGAATCAAACAAACAAACTGCCTCTGGCTAGAAAAGAAATCAAGGAGAACTGTTTTAGAATCTTTCATTTGAAAATTAATTTCCTTTCATCGGGAAGCTGCTGTAAACAGGCGTATCCACCAATGACATCATTTAAACATTTTTTTTCATGAAAAAGCGTGCAATAGTTTCCAGTACTATCCAACGTTTTTTTATAGTGCACGCAGCCCGCATATGAGGAGGCATGATATGCGCACATAGAGATCCTATATATAGGATCTCTATGGGCATGCATATACGCAGGCTCCTGTTGCTTAGAACCATTAACCAGGAAAACAAGCTCATTTGTCAGCCATACTCTCACGAAACAATCTTGAATGAATTCTTTTTACATCAAATGACAAGGATCTAGGAGTTTCCTGGTATAAATCAAATGATGCATGTTTTCATTCGTTCATTACACTATCTATCCACCCTCGTTGAGGCCATGTGCATCTATCGCGCTCAGCCTAACTGCTTTGTGCGATGGATACACACAGCTTCAACTCGAATGCATATAGATCGTATAATGAACTCATGCGCATGCAGCATTTGTATACTAGTATAACTTTTCTCAAGGGATAGCTTACATGGATGGAGTTGACTGGGAGATCTATGTAGTTGAGTAGCTCGCTGTGGAACTTGACGGACATGCAGGAGGAGAAGAAGACCATCACCTTCTTGTTTCGATTCTTCTTGAGGAACGTGAAGAGGAGTAAGAAACGCTTCTCCGACGGACACACCACGTAGCCCTAGTGGTCGGGTAGCAAAAGGTAGAAAACAAGAAGTAAATAACGTGAGATAGTTTGCACGTACAGCGTACGAAAGAAAAATATTGAAAGAAAGAATTTCAACATCATTAATTAGAAATTGTGTATAAATACATGCAATATTAGACATTGGTTGTAATACAGTTGGTTGATCTCAGCACACGATCTATGACCAGAGATGCCAAGCTCTTGACACAAAAAAACAGACTGAGTATCCTAAAAAAAAAAAACAGATTTTGGAGAGAAAAATCAGATTTTCACGAGAAAACGACACTACCACTGGCCGTCTGCCCCGGGCCTGTAAAATTTCAGAAAAATGTTTTACTGGTAAGTATGGTCAAGTAAAATGTTTGCTCTTTCATTAAAATTTAATGAAAAAATTGTAAATTAAAGTTTTTTGGGGGAGTTGCAGGGGTTTACTTGTATATATATATATATATATATATATATATATATTTTTTTTTTTTGGGGGGGGGGGTATTTCAAGAGGTGATATCGTATTATCGTACTAAATACGATTTAATTGTACTGGTTGACCTCTCTGTATGACCCATGCTTGTAATATTTGATGTTTCTCTTACCCATTCTGATCCATGAATCATAGCAGGCACTCATTTTTGTAAAATTTCACATTTTCCATCACCTTTTCTAATCCGTAAACGATCGCAGACGCTTTATGATATCTGACATTCCTTTATCTATTCGAATCTATCGACTTTAGCAGACACGTCACATTATGCTTGAAAAATTTGACACTTGCAGTATTCGATCTTTTCTGTGGACAATAGTAGGCTTCCGATTGTAACGTTTGATTTCAGTGTTGCCTATAATGATCCATCGACTGTAGTGCTACTTAATGATTCACGTTTGTAATACTTGACCGTTCTAATTCGTTGACTGAAGCAGGTAATTTATGGTTTATGCTTGAAACATGAGCATCTCCCTCAACTTTTGTAGTCGACTGAACATAGCAGATGTTTTTACAGATTTATGATAACAATATTTAACATATCCAGTACCTGTTCTAATCCATCGACCGTAGCTGATTCTTTATGATCATCCACTCCAACATAGACTGGTTCCTTCCTGAGTGATATCCTGGCTAGATCCTCCGTCTTACGGGTCTGAGTGGCAGAGAATAGGCCCGTCTGCCTCCTCTCTGTTAAAACATTAAATTTACAATAAAAGGTCAAATCAGGTCGTTCAAACAAGAAAAACATCAGCAACAACAACAACGATGAGGACGGAGACGACATTATTATCATCATTAAAGGGCCCATGACATCGAAATACAAGTGTATTCCTATACAATAGGCTTGCGGGTGCACCATGCGAGAGAGAGGGAGGATTGAGTCCTGAAAAGGACTCTCGCTAATCTTTCTTGAGGGTTTGTAGTCCTGAAAAGGACTGTTTGGTATAGTCTTGAAAAAGACTGTTGGTTATCTTTCTTTGCTTATAGTTCTAAGGAGAACTATAGGGCTTGAAGAGGATGAGTGGCTGGAGTGGCTCGACGTTTCGAACAGGTTGACTATCCGTCGTCAGGAGTGGAGAATAGCAGGCGTGCGTGAGCTAAAGTCACCGGGTGCGGACGTTGGGGAAAAATACATGTTGGAGCGCAGTCCTGCATACATCTCATATTTTGATATGTAAACTTCTGAATTTGCTTCATAGATTTTTAAATATTTTTTGAAATATTTGTTTTTCAAACTTGCTAAGCTCCACCCCCAAAACCTCCAGATCTCATTCCCCTTGTGACTTCATCAATCAGTCATCAATGAGCTAACTTGAGAAAGTAGCAGGTAACTTTGCCAAAGTTGACCACCTGTTACAATACCACAAACAATAGCAACATATAAGTTGCTATGTCAGACATGTCAGACTAAACTAATATTCTAGAATAGACAATGGTATGTAATTTCCCCCAGCTTAGCACACGTTCATAATAGAATTGTACACTTCCATACATATGCACAATGCATCATCATTGCCTTTGTCTCCCTGGTGATACTACAGCATGTCTGACATATTGTATTACGTATTGTAACAGGCTATGACAGAAACTGGTCATAAATTTATACAATACCACTGGGCCATGGTGGGTTCGGCAAATGACTTACTTGGTAGCAGCTTGATGATTTGTTTCATCTCTTCTTCAAATCCAACCTCGAGAATCCTATCAGCTTCATCGATGATCAGGCACTGGAGGTTCTTGTACATGAACTGTGGTGTATTCTAGGAGTAGGGTGGAAATGCAAAATGACTTCATCAGTAGCCTATGTCATGGCAGTAGCATTTTTAAAGGGATCCGGTAATTTTGTCTCAGATTCTGAAACAAAATCCTGGATTTAGCTCATGCTGCAATGATAATTATAAACCTTTAGGTCAGTCAGGAACCCCATGACTTTTACAAGCCGATCGCCTGTGTGATTATCAAGATATTTATGATTGGAAATCGAAACCAGATTTTGCGTTTTCCTAACGGTTTTCATAACACTACAGTCTATTGGGGGGAACGAGTATGGTAAAACCGGTCACTCAAAGATTTTTACTTTTTTAAGGCACTTCTTGATCATTTTGAAGCGCAATTTTTTTTAGGGCTTCAATATTACACCATATCACGACACTGATAAAACGTTAAGCCGTGCATCTCAGATTTAAAATGGTTTAACGATGCCTTTAATGGATATAGCGAAACAGAATACTTCAAAAAGTAGCATCAGCACAGTTAGTAGAAGTAGTCCACATAAAATGGCATGTCTGCCTCTAATTATAGATTTGAAACTAAGAGAAGAATGACCGTCATATCGGAAACATTGATATGAAACATTCATGAACTACAAGCAATGGCTATTCTTCACGGCATGTAACATTTAAGCTTTCCTAAAGCCTCGGTCACAAATGCCATTACGAACTGCTACGAATGCTGTACGAACGATTTTCAGACCATGGAAAGACAGGGAGATTCGTACCAATGCATCGTTCATGCGAACCTTTGTGACCGTAGCTTAAAGAATCAATGTCATGACTCAAGTGTTTTGTGGCGCAAATCTGCAAATCTGAGCCACTCAAAAAAAAAAAAAGATTTGGGCATGCTAAAGTGTTTGTTTCTTCAGTTTGTAAGAATTTAAGTGTTAAATCCTCACTTGCATCATTTGACGATAGCTATTTAGAGGTGTCTTAATTAAAGGTAAAGACCAGTTTTGGAAACGCCCCCCTCTCAAAAAATGAAATGGAAGCTCTTATTACCAATCATGTGAAAGAATATGTTTTGACTAATACGTGATCATACAAATTTTGCAGAGAAACCGTCTACTAATTGATATATTTGGTAAATTATTATATCTATCTGACCTGATAGATATAACGCACGTGTCGTGCATGTGTGCATAGTCCCATATACATCTTTCTGCGTACAGTGCTTGTAACTTTACCAAGACTGAGCCAAATTTCTTATCATTTTGATGACTCCAGTACACACCAATACTTACATGCTAGATGATCAACCTTTTCTGATCGATTCCACATTTCTTTCAATGTGCAATCGCATGACCATAACTGGTCTTCATCTTTAAGTGGCTCAATCACTTGACTGGACTATATAAGACACTGGTATTAATATCGTTATTTCCAATTATTCCAAAAGAAATCACAACTGAGAGTGTCATAAAACATGACATTTGACGTTGTTGACGGTCAGAAGTCTTGACCATTACCTGCATGTGGTCAAGCAGTCTGCCCGGTGTGGCTACGATGATGTTGATTCCCTTGGCCATCTTCTTAGCCTCGGTGCTGCGGTCAGTCCCGCCCATGATGAGACCAAAGGTGTGGTAATGGTGCTCCAGGAGCTCTTTGAGGACACCATAGGTCTGCATCGAGAGCTCGCGGGTCGGTGAGATGATCAGTACCCCAGTGCCTGTAGAAGTAATTATTGGCTAAATGTAAACAATGCCATAGAGTACCGAAGCTGTGACGTCATAAAAATCTATTTTTAGAATTTCTCAATTTTTTCTTCATTTTCCGAAAGAGCATCAAAAATAATGTCCAAATGTTGAAAACCAATTGAATATGTTAAGTATTGGCTGAGATACATGTATGATCATCTCAATGATGATTCCGGACCCCATGGAAGAACAGGCGTATTTTGTTTGTTTGTCTGTTTATCTGACGGAGCCTGTAAGCTTACTGGCCGGCACCCTTACATGCGCCTTGCATTTTCACTCGACCAATTTTCACCAGGCACTGCAGAATATGTGACCACACATGCCGTAGAAATGAAATTCAGAAGGATTCCATACGGTCTCCAAAATCCATGGTAAGCCGCTGGGTAGGGAAAATCGGAAGGGGGCCCGGTGTATATTTGACCTAGGCATTACCAAAGACAGCTATGGTAAATATGTGAAAGTCCTTTCATTGCGTGCAGTTGCAGTTCATTAACACGTAAGGAAAATGGCGGCATATCTGAACAAGCCTTTTAACATTTTGACATTGTCTTCTTGATGGGAGAAAGACCTGCCACCAACTTACCATTTCTCGGCATGAATTTGAGCTTGTTCATGAGCTCTATTGCAGGAATGAGGAAGGCCAATGTCTTTCCACTTCCAGTCTTGGCTGCAGCCAGAATGTCTCTGAAACAACAGGAAGAAAAACACAAGAATTAGCTTTAACAACCTGTGATAAAATTGGGAAAAAATGTACACTATCGTAATTGACCGACTGTTATCAATTTGTTGGTAATGACCATTACATAACCACCCCCATCACCATTTCACAAATATCATCATCATTGTCATCTTCATCCTCACTTCTGCTCCAACAATGATTTAACTTTAACCCTTACTGTACTGGGGGGGGGGGGGGCCTGGGAGGCCCCCCCCTCGACATTTTCGGAGAAATTTTTTTTGAATTGTCGTTTCATGACTTTTTTCCCTCAAGTCTTACGCACGTTTTGATACCATTTTCGTCGCAATCGGATATACCTGTGAGGTGTTACATAACAATTAGTATGCGCATGTCATCAAAAATATGCTATAATTGCATATATTCATGTACAAGCAGAAATGTGAATACAGGTTTAGATGTATTCCTTATTAAGTGGGTGATATGAATTGATATCGAATTGCTTTTATATGTTTCTAAAAGTAACTTGATGTATTCCAGAACAAAAGAATACATAGGAATAAAAACAATAGACATAATAAGAAATAAAAAAACAATAAAATACATAAGAAAATAAATATTTGAAAATCGCATCAAATTTGCATAAATTATCATTATTAATTACATCCAAATAAATATTTTGTGTTAGAAAAGAAGTTTCATATGAATAATGAGTTTCAATGTTCAAAAAGTGAAGTTTGACACGTTTTCTGTAAAATGCATAAAATTAGCATTTTGCATAATTAATTAGGCTATAACGACAAAAATTTGCATATTCGCAAAAAACTAATTACATCATCTTGTTCGTTACGTAAATATCTACAAAAATGCAAATTTTCGTGTTCGTCGGACATCCGACGGCCGAAATCATAGGGGGGGGGGCCTCCCAGGCCCCCCCCCCCAGTCAAAAGGTGCTTAAAATAGCCCAGTACAGTAAGGGTTAAAACTATCATCATTGCCAGCAGCACCGCAATGCTCATCATTATCGTAGTCATCCTCCTCCCCCTCATCATTGTCGTCATCCTCCTCATCCTCCCCGTCATCATAGTCGTCATCCTCATCACTTTCATCAACATTGCCTTGATCCCCATACCTCCATGCCCCATCACTACAGTTTAACTCTACTTCTGTTAACAGATTGACCATCATTTGATATTAGGCCTGAGTCATGTCGGGATTTTCATAAACCGGGTCCCGACGGCCTTGCACCGATCGGGACCCGGTGTCCCGAAATCAGCTCGCAGGATCTGTCACTTGCCTCTATAAAAAGCGCATACCATCAGTATGTCCCTTAAAAGTGACCTTTTTTATCAGTCAAATAAATCAACACATGCATACCTCGGCACAGACTGGTATATTCTTCCATTTGACATTATTTTTCATCCATGATTGGCGATGTTTAGTGGCATTATCGTGCCTCTAAAAATAAAAAAACTCGAGCAAAAATATAAAGACAACATTCGAGCCGCCATTTTGATTCATGCAGGTTGAACAAATCGGGTCAAAGAATATGAATGTTAGAATAATAAAATGGCTTTCTAAAAAATTCTTCTTTACAACATACCGATCAAATAATTTGTTAAAGACAAAGAAATATTTATCTCTTATTTTAAACATCGCATGCTTTTTTTTAAAAGCTGAAAAATACTTGGTAATCACAACAAGAAGTTTCGATACGGACAGCTGTTGCAAGGCAAGTTCAGACTAGTCACGGAAAAATGCGCAGTGCACCTCTTAGCTGTAATGCGTGCCAGACCGAACCAAAACAAATATACTTGATCGTAACAAAAAATCATTCAAAACTACGAGAGCACAATTGGAAAGAGAACTACTGCTCCAAATTACCATAATCAGATACATTACTTGGACAAAGAATTCAATAATCGCCCAAGAAATGCCACAGAAAATGTGATAATCGAGGAATAACTAGGTACATTTTTATCGCAAGGGGCCTTCTGCAAATACTCGAATACTTTGTTATACTGCTTTTACCGTAGAGGGCGGTATTTGTTTTCGATCTAGCCTCGTGTTCAATTTAAACACGTGTAATTCAGAGCAGAAGGCCCATTCCGATAATGATTGTACCTATAGTAACTCCTTAAATATCACTGTTTCTGTGGCTTTTCTTGGACAACTATTGTATTCTTCCTCCAAGATATGTATCTGCTTACGATAATTTTGAGTAGTTGTCTTTCCAATTGTGCTCTCGTAGTTTTTAATGATTTTTTCTCGTTACGATCACGTCTTTGTTTGGGTTCGTTCTGGCACGCATTACAGCTAACGACGAGGAACACTGCGCATTTTTCCGAGACTAGTCTGAACTTGCCTTGCAACAGCTATCCGTATCGAAACTTCTTGTGATTACTAAGTAATTTTCAGCTTTCAAAAGAAGCATGCGGTGTTCAAAATCAAAGAAAAAATATATATTTTGTCTTTTAAAAATTATTCGATCGGTATGTTGCAAAGAAATACTTTTTAGAAGGCCGTTTTATTATTCAAACATTAATGTTTCTTTCAACCTGGTTTAATTATCCTGCCGAGAGACCCGGCCAGTATAGTAGCTAGCTAGCAGCTGGCAACAACAACCCCATGGGTCGAACTGCTTTGCAACCCATATTTATATCAGCAGTTCGGATTGATTCAGGATGAGCTAGAATATGATTGGTAACAATTAAATACTCAAGTTTTATGGTGGAATGATTTTAGTGGTGTGCAAAACTGCAATTTCTTACATGTTTCATTATTTTTTTCGGAGCGTCGGTTCTCAAAAACGAAACCGGGACCCGACGGCAACGGTCGGGTCCCGGTGTGATCGACCGTACCGACTCAAGCCTATTTGATATCATTACTTCCACCATCATCATCATCACTCATACTCACTTGACCTCCATCATCGTCACCCTCATCATCCCCACCACCACCACCACCACCACCCCCCCACCACCACCATCATCCTCATCCTCACCACCATCACCACCACCACCATCATCATCATCATCACCACCACCACCACCACCCCCACCACTCATACTCACTTGCCCTCCAGCATGTGCGGTATAGCTTTATGTTGGATCTCTGTCATCTGGGTAAAGCCCATATCAGCCACGCCCTTCAACGTCTGCTCAGAAACTCTGTCCGCTAACGAGGCAAAGCTCGAGTCTGATAAGATCTCCTCGGTAACTGCCACTGGGAACAGGATGGAAATGAGGCAAGATTAAGTGTAGGTTGTGGACTTGTGGTCAACTGTTTTTCAGTGTAATTTCCCAACACAAAAAGTAAAACAGGGTGACAACAACTTTTTGTGTTTGGTCATCATTTGTGTACGATCTAACTAATTCAACTACGGATGATCAAATTCTACATCTAAGAATCTAATTCTTGACTTTCATAGCAAAGTTTAGAAAAGATTTACAAAAGGTTGCTTCTGTTGATACATATATTAAAGCCCGTCTGCACTTGTTTGGCCAGGAGGGATTAGACCTCCCAGCGTGGTCAGTGACCGGTGGTTATCTTAACAAATCAGCTCTCAATTAACATAAGAAAAAGGGGATCATGGGGGACCAGCGGTCACCGATTAGGCATTGTTTGCTATAAGAGGGCGCAAGTAGCTATAAGTAGTGCAGTGGGGCTTTAAAAAAAAAACAAAAAAAACTTTGTACTAAGACATACTGATGCTACTCATCTTGCGATTACCTTACATTTGTCAAAGAAAGAGCAAATTTTGCACTTATTCGGATAAGTGCAAGACAAAATGCTTGAATAGTTTTCGTTCAGAGCTGTTCTTCAAGTTTGCAATTTACAAAATAATGCCTTTTTTCGATCCAGGAAGGAACAACATTTCCTCAATATGAAACATGTGAAATACTTTCCTGGCTTATATATTCAATATCTTCCCACCTAATATAAACTCCTCAAAAAAGTTTGACTGATTATATCTCTCTCGTCATGGAAAGATTATCGCTTTGTTTAGTATCCTTTTGTTTATTCCTCTTTAAAATGAAACCATATCTGTTGTGACTTTGCAGCCATGGAATGAGCAGTACGTCAGAATAAAGGGCAGTTCAAAAGTGAAAAGTTGCAAAATGCAATGGTATTGTCATGTGCACCACATAGCAGTCCTGCACTCTTCAAAGGAGGAAGAATGCACAGCCGAATATGAGCATCGCATTTTGCAACTTTTCACTTTTGACCTTGCCCCTTATGTATATTGGGGGTTTATTAGCTTTTCCTAAGAGCCTTACTGTTACTTATACTTACAGTCTGTTTCTTCTTCTGCATTGACTTCTTCTGAATCTCTATCTTGCCCCTCTTGGTTTTCTTTCTCACTTTCTGGATTTTGCTCCTCAGATTCCTCAGTTCGAGGTACCTTTTTGTCTGATTGAAAAGAGAGCATTCCACATAAAGACATGTTGAACAGATGAACAAGACACTTTCACATACACTATTTCAAATCAGTTAACTCTTGCTTGTAATCATAATTTTCCTTTTGTTCCCCCAAAAGTGGGAAATCCATCCATGATAAATTAAAGCGAAAATGCGAAATTTTGAATTTTTAGGTCTAACAATTCAAAAGAGCTTTAATGATATCTCTTTTCTAAGACTGGTATACCAAATAGAAGCAAGTTGATGTACAGGCTGAGCTTTCTGTTTCCTAACTTGCTTACCTATCAATACTTCTTTCAAATCTGGGTTAAAAAAAAAGTCCCCCCAAAACAACACCAACAAAAACAAAACACAAAATCATAGGATTGAAAACATGTCAAAACTGTCACTGCACAGTATCACTACAGTTAGGTGCAATGTCACTTTAATAGCTGCTGATTAAAAAAAATCTATAGGCCATTTTCGTAATCTATTCAAATTAAATGCACAAATCTCTGTTAAGTCCATGTTATAGATCTCCATTCACCTGTTGAATTCACCAATAAATGTATTTCAATAGACAGAATGCAAATTGCATGTATGTTTGTCCTACCTAGCAACAATTGATTAGCATTCTGACTATTGAAATACAATTATTTGTAACATGTGAATGAAATAATTAGTAACGAGGCACTTGACAGAGACCTATGCATTTAATTTGATTACATTATGAAAATGGCATTAAAGGGATCCGGTAACTTTCTCAGATTCTGAAACAAAATCCTGGATTTAGCTCATGCTGCAATGATAATTATAAACCTTCAGGTCAGTCAGGAACCCCATGACTTTTACAAGCCGATCGCCTGTCTGATTATCAAGATATTTATGATTGGAATTACAAATTTTGAAAAACGTTTGTCAAACGGTTTTCATAACACTACAGTCTATTGGGGAAAACATGGTAAAACCGGTCACTCAAAGGTTTTTACTTTTTTGAGGCACTTCTTGATTTGAAGTGCAATTCTTTTTAGGGCTAAGATGGGTAGTCAATGACAAATCAAATATCTTTCAAAAAAACACTCTAACTATCTCACCTGGTGATTGGTCATCACTCTCAGCTTTCCGTTTCATTTTCTTCTTCTTGGGTTTCTTGCTTTCTTGAGAGGGATCTGTCTCTTCTATTGCTGAGGGTTCATTATCTAAGAAATAAAAATAATAATAATCTTTAAAGTCCACTCCAAATTTTATTAAGTTAAGCCGAAAATGGAAATTCTTTTTGCCAAATTGATCGTGAGCCCGGCAGCCACTGAGCAGTGCCAGATCAACGTTGCTCTATCCCTTATGGTTGAACGCCAAACAAGGTAGCAGCAACTCCCGTCTTTTAACGTCTTTTGGTATGACGCGGCCGGGGTTCGAACCCACGATCTCTTGGTTGTGAGGCGGACGCTCTACTGACTGAGGTGTAATTCTCTCATAGTATAACTCTATTGTCAAATAAACATTGACTTTACTTGTACATTTATTAAAGAGAACTGTTGCTGAGCTAGCCCCATAAGCGTCCCTGGACGGTGTGTGCGTTCTATGGGTGGTATTCTCGAAAGCGGACTAACTTTAATCCATGGTTTAATCCGCCGACTAAGTATGGAATGCCAAGTGTCCATATGAACACGTTTTTGAATAATTTAATCTGTCACTAAATCAAAATAAAATCTAATAACATAACCAATAAACAACAATAAAACTATGATATAATTATGTTATCATGCTAATTTAGGGACATATCAAATTATTCAAAAATATATTTATAAGGACGATTGGCATTCCATACTTAGCGGATTAAACCATGGACTAGTTAGTCCGCTTTCGAGAAGACCACCCTATAAGTTTACACTATTATCATTTTTATTATTACAACCACATCCTATAAGAGACAGTATAAAAATTGATTTATTGATTGATTGAAAATATGAAATGGTATACATCTAAAAACTGCATCATTCAAACAGTAAAATCGAATACACAAAACAAATGCGACTGCGTCTTCCTATATGTCTCTGCCCTTGGTCCTTGAGATATCACAATAACAAGAAAGCGGAACGGGTGGACCGATGTACGAACGGGTGGACGGATGTACGAACGGGTGGACGGATGTACGAACGGGTGGACCGATGTACGTACGGGTGGACCGATGTACGAACGGGTGGACCGATGTACGAATGGGTGGACCGATGTACAAACGGGTGGACCGATGTACGTACGGGTGGACTGATGTACGTACGGGTGGACCGATGTACGTACGGACGACCCGAAATACATAATGCCCTGGCACCACCTTTGGTGGACGGAGGCATACAAAAGGGGCACTTATCTAAGTGAAAGGAGCACTTTTGGATTACTTGAAAAAAGTGTGTATGTGGGGGGGGGGGAGGGACACTGTGGCACTGTTGCAATGCCATTTTGAAGTAGAAAAGCTGATCAAATTAGCCCTTAGTAATTCTTGTCCTGAAAGGGATCACAGGAAACCAGAACCAAGTTAGAGCAATATCGAGTTGAAAGATTCCTGTCTCAGAATCATGCTTATTCTCATTCTTCAATCAAACAATGTAGGTAGGATGATAATTCATTACCGACAGGCAATCCAGATGATCGTTCATTACCAGTACAAGTCTGAACTTTTGAAATAGGGATAGCCCTCCATCGAGGTATATCAAATATGTTTCATGAAAACACTTAAACTACATGTACAAGTCGGGTAAACAGTCGTGGTAACTATACACTGGTGAACCTCAGAGTTAATTGTGTCTACACGATCCATAACTAGAAAGCAGGACTGACAACCCCAAAACATAATGCCTCTCGCACAAACTTCAGTGGGCTGAGGAATAAAAAAAGTAAAATGTATCTAGAGTTCATTCAGCAGGTCAATATAAGTTAGAGGGAAACAACGTATCATTTGATATAAATATTCATATCTTTATGGAAAGAAATGCATGAACCTCACATCAATTAATAGAAGGTGGTAATTCTAGTCATTCAATCGTCCCGTGTTTCTATTTTAAATATTACATGGTATAGTTAAAAGAGAAAATACACCCGATGCTCTTTAATAATGCACCACGTAATCTTGCACATACAGCTGTGCACTATACCCAGGGGAAAAATAACTTAAAAAATGTCAGGGGCTACTTTTCAAGCTTGCTTGCATGAAAATAACACTCTTTAATTTGTTTTGCATTGAACTCTATGCAAAATTTGGGAGCTCTTTTAAGACTTTGGGGGGCTCTTTTGGGCATTTCTGGGGCTATTTCGCCCTGAGCCCCCGTGTATTTTTTCCCTGACTGTACCTGATACTTCTGGTACTTGTTGCTGCTTCTTCTGTTTCCTCTTCTTCTTGCTACCAGGTGTCATACTTGCTTCTGTATGGTTGTCCATTGAAATGGGCAGTGCCTCCTCTTCTGCTACTGCAATGGCATTTATTTAAAAAAGAAAAAGAAAATTTACATTTATGATTGTTCACGTCCATTGTGTGCACATTTACAAGGCAAGGTCACTTGGCCACTTCCACAATCCCAAACATGAGGTTAAGAAAAAAACAACACACAATAATTTTCATATTTCAGAGCTTGCACATACAGTTTTTATTTATTAATTTATATATTTCTAATCTTTTGTCAGGGTAGCCCATTCATCAATAAGTAGTGGTCTTCCATGGGGCACTGAATAAACATGAACATATTTACATAAAATAGCATAACGTTTATGCAGAAACAGTTCAAATAAAATTCAATAGTACATTTAGAAAGATAACTGATATGACACAGCAGTAATAGACGTGGCACAAACGAATAATTGTTTGGAAAATAAACATATATCATTAAACAAGTTCAACTGTAATGCCTATAGGAAATATTGATTAAGTTGCAATTTATGTGAATAAATCATGGTAATATTACAGAACATGCACGTAGTGTATATTCGGCTGAGCCATTCACAAATTACAACTTTGTTTAAACAATCTCTTAAATGAATTGACAGAGGAAGCAGTTTTGTGTTGGTTAATTGAGCAAGTCTTTCATAACAATATCTATCTAACACATACATTCACAAAGGATTTTATTGACAAGTGGAGAGTCCTCAATTGCAATTTACAAAGCCTAGATTATTACCTGCAAGAGATTTCTTCTTGATATTCTTCTTCTTTTTCGCACTATTGGGAGCGGTCACTGAACGAGAGAGCTGGGAATCTGTGGAAGATAGGACAGGAAAATAAATAAATAATTATCTTTGTCATCGATGGGATGCAACAAAACGTACAGTTTTTTTAATTGAGCATATTAAGTAGTTGTACAGGGAATGAGGAAACGCATCTTTATAATTATAGAAACAAAATCGAACTGAACAAAGGTCATTTTGTGTGTGCTACACTGCTCAATATGGACAGACTTTTCTACAGTGTATATCATTATCAAGTTTGCATGGAGATTCAAGTCCGTACAGTGTTTAATAAATGTGCACAGTGATTTTGAATAAACAGGTTAACTGTAACAGGAATGACGGTAAACTGTTTGTTGGAAGGTTTCCATCATCCTTAACAGTTGTTGAACTGATTGTAGTTGTTGGTAGATTCTTTACATTCAAATCCCGATTTGGGATGAATTTTGAAGAGTCTTGCAGTGACCAAGGTAATAACTAAAAACTTGTGTTGAACAAATTAAGGTACAAGACAAACTCTTCTTAATCTAGTACTAGTACATGATGTAGTTGTTGTTGTACCGATTCCTTTAATTGTTGTCATGTCAGGCCTACGACTCCAGCAAAGCATAGTCATGATAGTAGTCAATGTGAATGCGTATTGACCTCTAGCACTGTATACGTGCCGAGAGGCATCAACAAACATTGCACACAACTGCACACTAATGCACACAATGAATACGAAGTGGCTGGTTGGAAAGTTTGACAGCAGACTCAGGATTTGAATGGTCTAAGAATTTTTTCTAACATCAGTAAGTTGAAAAGGTTGTATTTTACTGCTATTTAGATGTCATCAATTGTCACTAAAGTACTGATTTTTAGTGAACAGTTGAGTTCTGTACCAGTGATGTTTGAAATGCTGTGAATCAATAGAGGTTGTCTAATCAATTTTTAATACACAAAATGCTGCTAATGCTGCTAATGCTGCTATACAGTTCACAAAGGAAATGTGAAGGGGCTACGGCATTTTGGACATGTTTAATGAGTTACTACTATCATGGACATGGTTTTTTACAATTAATAACATTTTTAAAAACCAAAATGCTGAAGCCTACTTGGCCACAAATTTGTCAGTTGAAACTTGAACATTGGCTGTTTTCATTAAGGCTGTGCACAACAGTGTAATGAGGTACCCAAGTACACTCCCAGGCTCACAAGCGAATACTTGAATATTCGAACGCCATGTTTTTTTTATAATTTTTTTTAAATTTTTAAATTTTTTTTGGAATATTTTTGAATTCTTTTGAATTTTTGGATTTTTGGATTTTTTGGATTTTTTGGATTTTTTTGCCACTACCATACCGCTCGGCAGTTTCCCAGGTCCCTCGCCGAAAACGCATGCAATTTCACTTATAGTTGTAGTTGAAGGCGCCGATTTAATAAGAATAATAACAGTAAACAATGCTGTTTTAAAAACCAAAGATGGCAGAATAATCCATTTTCCTCCGAGTCCAAACAGAAATCTGGACATTTGGTCCCAGTTTCTGAAAGGTGAGTTTGACAGTGCTTGAGTTGGGAAACATTTTTACCGACGGTACCATGCCAGCGGCCGCCGCTCTCCCTGGCACGGGTAAGCGTGGGCCTTGACATTTTTTTTTTTTGCGGCCGAATATTCGGGTACGAGAAATCGTACCCGAGTAGTTGTCAACCGTGCGGGTACTCGAGCATTCGACTACCCGTCGCAGCCATAGTTTTCATTTTTAAAAATTATGACTGTTTGACATGTGAGTCTAAGAGTCGACCTCTCTATCTAAACAGTTTTCATTCCTCAATGCATGCGATCGCGAATCGCGATACATCAGTCTATACCTTATTTTTGATACTAAATCATTTAAATTTCAATGGAATGAGCACTGCCAAGTAGGGGCTGGTCCGAGAATACGGATTGTCCGCACGAACGCGGATTGTCTTTGTTAACGCAGAGACTTTGAGGTTATGAGCGCTAAATCATCAGAAAGACAGACAACCCATAAAAGTAGACGGTGATGGGGGTATTTTATTAGGCAGAGTCCGTTTTTCCTTTGCCAATGCGCGGATCAGGAACCCAAAACTTGCAGAACACTGAAGAAAAAGTTAGCGAAAATGCGTACAATCCTTAGACTATGTTTTACTTTTAGGACGCATTTTGTCCGCGAGCGATATGCACGATCCTCATTTTCTGACCAGCGCCCCTAGGCCCTACTGCATTAGTCTACACTGCACTAGAGTCTAGATCTAGAGGCTAGACTATTCATAGTACAAATATTCCTTCATATGCTTTTTATAATATTCATCACTTTTCACCGTGCCTACCATCAGTCTCAAACACAGATGCAGACTAGACTCTTAATCTTATTCTTATTCTCAATTTCATCACACTCACACTCATCACTCATAAGAAACATAAATTATAACACACGGGACTACACAGTGGTAAAAAGCCAAAAACAAGAAGTTTTACATCATCAAATGATGATTTCGAAGTATAGTAAGAACAATTCTCACCCATTTCTTAGAAGCGAAGCTTCAGTTCTCCTGAATACTTCAGTCTTAAAGCAACAGAATCAATTAATACTAGACTCTATGAAGTATTGCCTCTTACTTGCAGCAATCACACCGCATTTGCCACATGTGCTCGATATGTACTACTAGCTCCTAAATGGACTATTCCAATAAACGAAAAATAAAGGGGTAATTAAATTGAACGTTTTCGTTTAATTTGCAAGCAAAAGTTGTTCAGTCCATGATTGCCATTAAATTGGATATTTGCTTTATTTTAAAATTAATTTGTTCAATACTAGGCCTGATTATACATCACTTTTCAAATAAATACTTCATATGTTTGCCGTACATACGTAGAATTACCACTAAAATAATGGAATATTCAAAAATTGTGAGAGAATGGCGAACAAGTAGTAATGTTACTCCATCTGTGAATGTTGTCAGTCATCATTTTCTAGTGACGAATAAGCGGTGAGAATTTTCCTTTCTGTTGCATTGTGTTAACCGATAGAAAACTGACGTAGAATTAGACTTTCTGAAAGCGAATATTTATCATGAAAATGAGTGGTTCAGCATAATTATTAATTAAAGTGACATCTCGTATAGTCGTACACTGACTGGTTGCCGTGTTGTGATGTGTGTGATGACTGATGTGTGTGAACTGTCGTGTAGATCATGCATGTGTGTGGTGGTACTGGCATTGGTACCTGCACGTCCTGGCTATATCGAGCTAAATCTCCTCGTCGGGCCCGCGCCCGGGCCTAGCCTCCAGGGGCTCGTTACTAGAAACCAACGACAAGACAGTCATAACTTTATCACTAACTACGGAGATGTCTCTGATCTTCCTAAACCGTTTCACAAAGAGCTTAGATCTAGGCCTAGACCCCACTAGATAAATATCTTGTGAGATCTAGCCTTAAGGTAGGGAGGCCAATGCCCAAATCTAACTTTTTAATTACTAATTTGTTTATACTAAAACTAAGATTAAAAGAAAGCATTTACTTTCACTAAGAAAATCCACCCATCTGCCGACTCCATAGGTTCCATCAAATAGGAGATATCCAGCTGGTTTGTAGCCATTTCCTTCTACGCCTTTCCGTACGTAAGAGCCTTGAAACAATTATATTTCATGTCGCAAAGTTACGTTCATAATTAGACAGGCCCGAGGGACAAAGTTCATGATGAAGTTTAAAACTTTGCGCGAAAGTGCAATCACTCAACAGCGGCTAGCCTTGAATCGGTCGCACACGTACACACCTTCTTCTTCTTAGTTGATCCCTCCACGACACAGGCAAGCCCCGATGCAGGCTGAAGTCCAGCCATCAATGTGCGAACGATTACATCTTCTACTACTACGAGCCGAAGACGATGGTTCAAAAAAGGAAAGAAATATATATAATTCATTGATATTTACCTTAGATGTGTATTCCAATAATTTGATTTCCTCATGAGTATTCCTTATTATCAACGATCGAGAAGTTACGAGGTCCAATTAAAATCCATCTTGCAGCGAACACAATCATAGCGCACATCCATGCATGCATGCAACGTACGTGTACTAATATTTCTCTCACTCTCTCTCTCTCTCTCTCTCCCTTTCGCTATAAGTAACATACACACTCACTAACCATGTATCATACACAACACACACCTTCAAATCATGGCTTTCATTTCAATTCTCAATTGGAGTATAGACTGCTCATGTAGACTTTTTTTTTTACTGAAATATCTTTTTTAACACTTCTCATACATTACTGCACGACACTCGTATCTAGTGCTGTGAGAATAAGGTACTAGGGTCTATAAATAAGACTACGCTTTGCGCACGATTTGACCGGAGCTCAGATTATGTCGCAATACCCTTTATTTTTGGCGCGAACAATGACGTCACTGTTCACTGTTTTCCTTCTCATTTTGAGATGGATGTAGCTATAGGGCTCAAACCAACGCAAGATTGACAGAATCATCGTACTCTATCTACTTTCGAATGTTCAGTTTGTAAAAATCTGTATTTAAAAAGATATAATCTTTTTTCTTTATATTTTCTAGTTGTTAGAAGTGGCAATTGTGAACATCTGAAATGTTGATCTCTATCAAAAGTTCTTTACTCAAAACGGATCCCATATTTTTAGGGTCTACCTTCTGCCAATGAGAAGGTTTTTAGTGAGCAAACCTCTACGCCCTCTAGGATTTTCTTAGTCGGTGGTGCGAGTGCGTCAAGGTCGTCTGCAACCACAATTATTGGATTAAAAAACGTCAAAATCTGCAAGATTGTCAACAAATGGTGAAAGACTGTTACAGATCCGTGATTATAGGTATGTTGTGAAATGTATAATTGTATTTTCTTTTCATATTTTCTTCAATTTTTATTTTTACATCATTTTTTTCCCTTTGCTAATTTTTTGAAGTGGGCGACGAGCGCACAAATCGTAGGTGTAGAAGCCTTACGCCCGGGCATTGGCCTCCCTACTTAAGGGCTCCCTCGAAATGTTTTTTATGATAGTCGAGGGAGCCTTAAGGTAGGGTGTCTGATCGCGCACCCGATGTTGTGTGCTAAAATTCTTCCCATAGAGATTACACGCATCCCTATGCAGCCTACGTGCATTGCGCGACCATGCAAAAAAAGGTCAATTTTTTTTTTTCAAATCGAGATTCAAACCTTTATCAGTTGTGATCCTGAAGGTGATAATCAATGAATGAGGTGTCATATGAAAGAGCAGGTGAATTCCAATATTTCCAAAGGGGCGTAGCCCCCGAAATTCTAAATATATCTTGGTCAAAACAGCAATTTAAACATTGTGTCCTGGCTAACTCTGAGGTTTGTCACTTTTGAGATATGACGCCCCGATCGATAAGTAGTCCCAGTCCTAAGGAACAATTCTATGTGATTATATTTTCGCTAGCCCCCAGGGATCACAACTGATAACAGTTTAAAAATACCCTTCTCGCTATTTGGTGGATCAGCTAATTAGGAGGCGTGCGCTCCGCTCAGTCCAAACCATGGTTACATCGCGTAACATCTCCGCGCACGAACGAAACCCCAAATTCAATTACACATTATAGTGACTGAAATTATGGTTGGCAATTCCCTCGATAAACCCGGAAGTGAATACACGTTATAGTCAATGGCAATATCGCGGAGACAACGTGCGTTGTCTCCGCGATATTGCCATTGACTATAACGTGCATTCACTTCCGGGTTTATTGTGCGACGAGCGCCAACCATACTAGTCAATCGCACATGTCGCGGAGACAGCGTAGCTCAAGCTGCAAGTCGCGGATTGGCTTAGCAGCATGCGTACGATATGCATACGCTTGCATATCGCGCGATACAGCTGTTTGGCTAAATTTAGCAAAACAACATCACTCTGCGTGGACGTCTTTTTTGTCGATTTTGACCAAAATGATATGAATATACCAGCGTGTTGGAGGGGCTGTAACTTTTGATAGAAACATCGGTGAGACTTGAAATTTGAAATGTATTATTCTGATAACATTTTTTATTCAAATATCAAACAAAAATGGTGAAAAACGATCCCAAATTGAAAATTGAAAAATCGTTCAGACACCCTACTTAAGGCTTAAACGGCACCCATAGCCTAGGGTCCCACGGAGAGGTCAGGTAGGTAAACAACAACTAAATTGTGTCCAAAATCACACTTTGCCGCACCCGACCAATATTGGACAGTGGCTTTGATAAATTTTGTTGTAATTGTAGTCCTAATTACCTCCGGAATTAAAAAATCGGAGGTAAAAATAATGAAATAATAGCAATTTTCTTACCAGACCGATACCGCTCAGCTCCCTTTTCACGTGTACTGTGTGAATTCACGATCTCTACACAATGAGTGATTTCAAGTTTGGTGTTAGTGTTAGTGTTAGTGTTTAGAGCAGTCAAGAGCTCTTAAATCGAGCAGAGAATTTGCTGATGAAATTAAGAGCACGATACCTATATCAAAATCGATAGTTTAACACCAGCCGTGACGTCACCACATACTTGATTTTACGACCATGATTTAAAATTAGTACATCAAAACTAAAGATATCATGAAAAGTACAGAATAAATTTACACCTATTTCTCTGGTCTTAGAAAATAACTAATTTTACACGAAAGAATATAGGAATTACGTGTTTCACATATTTTTATTTGATCGTCAGACAATAAATTGGCGTCGTTCGTGTGTTGAATGTGTGCGAGTACAACACTAACACCGAACTGGAAATCAACATTTGCTTAATCCCTAGGGGCTAGTGTTAGTGAATAGGACATTTGTACATAAAATATTAACACCAGCCACAAAGGTCGATTCAGCAGACGACAATTTTGCTAAATCGATAACACTGGCTACCGGAAGTTGACGATATTCATAGGTCAAAGCCTTAACACCAGCTGATTTCCATTTCAGTGTTTAGGCTGGTGTTAGTGTTTATTAAACACTAACACTAGCCTTAAACACCCAACTTGAAATCACTCATTGGTGATGACCTCTGACTGGCACTTCCGTGATTGTGCTGCTTCCGTATAATGCGCTGTATGAGTGTTATTCAGCGCATTATATGGAAGCAGCACGTTTACGAAGTGCCAGTCAGAGGTCATCACCATTGTGTAGAAATTCACACAGTACACATGAAAAGGGAGCTGAGCTGTATCGGTCTGGTAAGAAAATTGCTTTTATTTCATTATTTTTACCTCCGATTTTTTAATTCCGGAGGTAATTAGGACTACAATTACAACAAAATTTATCAAAGCCACTGTCCAATATTGGTCGGGTGCGGCAAAGTGTGATTTTGGACACATTTTAGTTGTTGTTTACCTACCTCTCCGTGGGACCCTATGGGTGCCGTTTAAGGCTCCCTCGAATAATATCATAAAAACATTTCGAGGGAGCCCTTAAGGCTAGTGAGATCGATACTATCGAGAAGAAGAGCCAAGCTAGTAGTAGATCTAGTAGAATCTCGCCCTTAGTCGCCATACCACCACCGGATTATTAAAAAAGTAATAATAGGCCTAGTCCTAGACTATTTGGGAAAATGCAATTATTTAAATGAATAAGTAATAAAAAATATTGAAAATGATACCAAGAAATAAGAGATGCAATATACTTCCAAATTTGTATAGACCCCTAGAGTCTAGATTATACAATAGAAGTACTTGTAAAATATAATTGTGAGTATTTCATTACATGACTGGTGAATCAGTTTTGTTCTTGAGATGGGTACCCCCCGGATATTTTCATTTGATAGTTTACAAAAAATACACCAATATATTATTCTCAGAAAAATACGATGTAATGAAATTTGTGTCCAATGTTTTAGGTGTCAGTTGAATAATCACATGACAAAACTTCAACATTCCAAACGTTCAAAAACATGTTTTAAACTAGAGGTCTATTCATTTTACACATTTGAAGATAGGATTCATCTCAAAATTAATATGGGTCTGAAAACTAAAGAATACACTTCTGACTAT